TAGGAAGCTGAGCCTTTGAGTTAAGGACTGTAACGAGTTTTCACGGGAGACCCAGCCACGCCAAACATGAAACGTAGGGAGGTTTTATGTCATGCATAATAAAGCCGTGCAACATGTTGATATGTTACAGTTTAGAGCGACCATTCCTGGAGCTCTGGAGTCTGAATATAGCCATCACTCGAACAAGGTTTATTTTATGACTAAAGCACTGATGGCCATGGGCGCCAAATACCTCGTTTTTACAGAAGTACTACTTCCGCTACACAACTGCAAAAAAGCACATCACCTGACGCGGCGTACCCCAATTACCTAAGGTATTTAAGTACGCAACATGTGGGTCGTGAGCGGGGAGCAGCGCCAGTCCTGGTAGGGAGGGGGGCGGGGGGAGGAGGGACAGGACGGGCACTGGGTTGAAACAGGGCCCCCTGCTAGTGAAAACCATTCTCCGAAAACGAAAACAGTCGGATTTGTACCACTTGGCCTGGAGATGTCACGACTTCCTTTATTTCATTGTGCTGTTTTATGTTGTTAACTGAAACGGAAGCCGGGTACCAATGGAAGACACATTCCTGTCGGCACATTTAAATCAATGAACTAAGAAAAACAAGGCGTTATACACTCGATCAAATACATCACCAGCGCTACTCATGTCGTCATGGTTCAGTGGAATTTTCAAACCCAGAGCACTCGTGGGATTTACGGATTTTTTCTCGAAGTTCTACAGTTATAGGGATCCCGTCGACTGACCAAATATTTCATACCGAAACATTGTCAAACATTGGTGCACACGCGACCAACACATGTTCATCTGGGGATGCTCATCATTCACTCAGAATGGTGGATAAACAAATTGTGCGAAGTATTGAACCTGCGCGCTCGCAAACCTTGCAAACAAAGGCTCCACCGTGCGGAGTTGCAGTCTCCATGGACCACGCGGCGTCGGCCCAGAAGAACTTGCGGCGGCCAATGGGCGCACAAAAATTCCCCGTATCTTAAACAAGTACGTTCAAATATGGTATGCGTCATTACGTATGTGGCGCTCACTGTTACGTTTTACCCGTTAGATAGCCTTGGTTTTACCCCGCTAAAGAAAGGTGTTAAAATAAGCCCTTCTTTTCCAGCCGGCTATTTCTTTCGCAGGTTTACCTTTAGCCCTGATTCGCCGCATCTCATAGCACAGACAAAGGGGAGGGGGAGGGGGAGATACGGCCCTCTGTCGTTTTTAAACTAGGAAAGATAAGCTTTGCGAAAACAAACAAATGGATCAATCTCAACGAAACCTCGTCATTGATAATAGCTTTATGTTTCTAGAACAATAATTGACCACACCAGGCCGAGTCAAAGGACATTTTCATGAAAATATAAATATTTCAGCTTAAATGCATAACACCATTCAATGTAGTAACAAGATAATGAAAAGACATGTTTCTTGCTTCATTCGGAGTACAATATGCATTTTTATGTGTTTCGAGATGCATTTATGACGAGGGGCTGCGTTAGTGTAATAATGCCGGCCCTCCGCGCGCGGTCCGCGGATTCGTCGGGAGCCGCCCGTGCCGGCCCGCCAAAAACACGCTTTTGTGGCCTGTCTTTGGGCACGCAATACATCTACGCACGTGGGACCTGCATGCCTCCCCTCCCCCCCCCCCCCCTTATATCGCAAGCATCTGGATCAGTGAAGGCAAGACCAGAAGTACGACAGAGATTCGATTAACTCATTAACTAGGAGAAAATCGCCCCTCCACCTCATCCCCCCCCCCCCCGTTCAATTCACCATCCACTCTTCACTTCATGCTCAAATTTGACCCCGTGCCCAAAGATACTTAGACCAACATTTTCCTTTCAAAAGGCTTCAAAAAGCTTAGTCTTACCTTTTTAGGGCGACCCTTTCGAAAAAGGCCTTCCAAATGCTTGTTTGGGAGACTAAGGTAAAAACTGTGCTAACATGTCCCTAATAAGAGGCCCCATTGTCCCGTTTGATCACGATCTCTAAGCGAGACTTCCATTCAGGTACTCAAAGGGAGCCTCTCGGCGTTCTTCTCAAGTTCAAACGAGGCGATCGCCGTCCGAGTCCTCTGAAGTGGCCCCCTTTTCGAGTAGCTTGCCTCAGGAGCCTTTTTCAAATAAAAGGCCCCTCATAGGAGTTATCCCGGGACGGGGGGCCGCAGGATCTCCGCTCCCAAGGAAGGCCCGCTCTGGTCCTTGATCTTCGGCGACCCCTTCACGTCAAAGTTTATACCGTGCCGCACCTCACGCTTGCACCGCGGGTTAGCCTACCGACGCATGGACAGCGGAGTTATTCGTTGCGACCTGATGCGCACCAACTACTTTCTTGACGCACATGCGGTGGGTACCGAACTAATCAACGCGGACGCGATCGGATGTGACGGGGCTTCATTCGCTTCTAAATAATTGATCAGAATCTTCTGACTGCACGGATCTCTGGGCTTAGCGCCCACACCAAACAGTGCCTGTTGCCTGAGACCCAACCCCCATTATCCGATCGCGAAATTTCTGGTCAACGGCGTAATTTTGCGAGGAATGGTTAATGTGCCGTAATGCTGAACAAGGTCCATCTGCTCCCTAACGTCACCTGACCTTTAACGCGGCCGCTGCCACCGGCCAAGGCCATCGCGCTTAGAGCAAATAGCGAGCATTAAGGCCTTCGCTGACACGCTAATCCTGTTCACTAACTTGTGAGCTTCTTTTCAACAATTCCACTGCAAATGACCCAATGGAGAGCATGTGAGCATGGGAGACAAAGCAGCCTTTCCTGCGCAGGAATGGAAAATGTTGTTCCCGCGCCTGACTGGCACCATGCCCCCTGCTCCCTCCCCACGTGGAGAGCCGCTGAGAGACCGGGGGTGAGAACGGGTCAATGGGGATGGAGAGACGGGGGCGGGGGAGGATGTGGAGGTCCAGGCAGGCGACAGATCATATCGCGGGCCGGGATGCGGGGGGCGGGGGGGGGGGGGGGCTCAGCGACCGGGCGTCAGATGGATGGTCTCCCCCACTGGGTGGATGGACTCCCAGCGAGGCCCACCGGGGTCCGCAGACTCCCGCCGCAGTGCCCCACACCGGGGTACACCGACCAGCTGGGCCGATCTGAAGGTGGTCGCACCGGGTTTCGGCTGCCAGGGTGTGGGGAGGGGGGCGATCCACAGCTGGAACTGGAGCCATGCAGAAAGTACCACATGGCATACTCAGGCGTATTAGAGTAGTGAGAGAGCCCCGGACGCGACGGGTCCTGCATGTCATACCTCAGCCTGCTCCATGAGAGCGACATCCAGACATCAGGCCCTCCCTGCGAGGCCACAGGACACAACGCCCGGTCAGAGCGTCGCACGATGACGCGGCTCCCGGCCCGAGCGCCGCGTGGTAACGCCTGGCCAGTGAGTACCCCGGCTGTCCAGCTGTGACAGACCGACCCTTCCGCACACCTCCCCGAGACTGCGTCTCCCGTGCGGGACCGGCTACGGGGTCACCGTGCAGCCGGCGCACATAAAAGGCAATCCCGATGACCACGGGGGTGGGAGGAGGGGGGGGGGGGGGGGAGGCAGAACGCTGTCGGCGAGACTTTCCGTCTAAAGTGTGCCGTTTTTCACCAAGAAGTGCCATTCCTCTTGCAGGGATGAGTGGCTCACACGTCAGATTCAAGTGGCTTTGTCATTAAATATGAGCCTGGCGTTCAGTCTCTATTATCCTGGCGGCGGGCCAAGTTCATGATAATGCGGCCACACCAGCAGAAAGCAAAAGCCTCGGCTACGGTGTACCCCGCTGTGTCACCAAACCAAGCCCTGGGAAAGGTCTGAGGCTGTCAAATTTAATGCAGCTCCATCCACTGCCAACAGCTCGGCTGCGGCGCTGGTGGCGCTCCAGGTCGATGAAAAGTGAAAGATCAAAAGTGTGGCACGCTAATGGTGTGGAAATCTCTGAGAGGAGGCTTCACGGTTTACTACGAAAACGCACGCCTTGTCAAAGCAGTTGCCCGAACTGTGGGTGCATAAGCTTTACAAAAAGCAACACCGGACCTTGGAAATGGCATGGCAGCTCCAAACTTCTGATTGACGAACGAACCCATTATAAGCCTGTACAACTGTGGCAAAATGTTTGAAATCGTGCCTTATGCCTTACTATGCCTGAAATCGGGAACGTCGCCTTATGCGGGTCTAAGGCACGCAGACATCGTGCCAGACGGATCATCAAGCACCCTCGCCACAAAGCCAAACCACGCTCACTTCCAAGACTACATCTGAAGCAAACCAAACACGCCGGTAACGTTCAAATTTTCGACCAATTAACCACTCGGACGACAGCGTTCGGTTGTAGGCCGCAGCTGCAGCGAAGGCACCCGGCCCCACACTCCCGCGGAAGAGGCGTTCAGACCAGGGGCTGCCCTACCACTCTTGGCGCATCTCTTGAGGACAGCAGAGCGCGAGGCGATCCAGGCGCCGAGAGCGCAGCCGCCGGCTCGTCGACGCACCGGGAGCGTCCGACCGCTCCACCCAGGTGCGCCGATCGCGGCCGGTGCCACTCCCCAACCTCTAGGGGGGGGGGGGGGGGGAGCAGCGCCCACCACGCCTTCCGTGCTAATCGCTCGGAGTCCGCCGCCGCTCTCTGGTATCGCCGGATCCGCCGACGGACCGGCAGCGGGCCATCACCGCCGTGGGGTGTACCGGAGGGTTCATCGTCCCGTGCATCGCAGCCTCCATCGGCGCCGTTCTGGGGAGCGAGAGGGCAGGGGGGGGGGGGTGGCAGCGGCGGCGGCGGGCCGCCGGCAGGACGCCGGCACGTGGGCCGCGACGCCGGCTTATTTCGGAGCGGCCCGCCTCGCCCCCTGGCCGACGGCCAATGAAGAGGCGCCATCGGCCGTCTTATTTCTGCGCCACGTCGGCCACGGCGAGGGCGCGCCGCCGGAGAGCAGTGGTGTCCGCTGGCGCGCCGCGGTCGCACGCGCCGCCACCGCCGCCGTCACCGCCGCTGTCGCCGCTGCCGCAGCCGCGCGCCCGTCAAATCCCCATTCTTCTTTACATCCTGTATGATCTTGACGGTATGGAATGTTTAGAAGTATGGAGGAGAGACGGGCGGCTCGTCGGGGGACGCGGGCTGGCGGCCATGCTCGTGACTGTCGGCATCTCGGGGCGTCCGCGGGCACGAGCCTGACCGGCGCGCCGGCGCAGAGCGGCCCCACCAGGCAGGGCTGCTGCTCTCAGCCGGGTGAGAGCAGCGGCTGACAGCGGACCAGGTGAGAGCCGACCGACCGATGGCGCCCGGAGCCTCACTGACTGCGCAGTGCTCCAGGTCCAGCAAGCGGCGCTGGCAGCCCGACAGTGCAGTGAGCCGCGTCGTCGGCCCATCCGCTCGCGTGATGTATGCAATCGAGCGCCCACTTACGTGACCTCGGCCTCACCAGGTGATTGAATGAAACTGCCGCCTCCAAGTGACACTGGCGCACAATCGCTCCGTCGTAACATGATAGTTTCCCGACACATTTCTGCGGGCATTTATAGCATTTGACGGCTGTTGGCTGCATCACTCTTTCGTGCGACATTTTCTGGGCATGGCTTGCACTTGGAGTAAACCATGAAGCATATGAGTAAAACAGTAACAAACATGAGGCGGTATGCAACCAGATTCAAGTTGATATGCTTTCGGGCAAGGGAGGATTCTTGTATTTGTGCCAAGCCAAATACATGAAAATCGCAGCTTTGATAATTGATGCACATTTTGGGGAACCATGCGCGAGCTTTTTGATAGCCGTGACGCCATCTTGTTAACTTCCATTTCGAGCTGATATTGGTACGAATTAACGCAGACAGCTGTAAGCGGCCCGTTACATTCCTCCTCTCCACGAAACAGCACACATCGGCGGGACTGCGGCCGTGCCGCCCCCTCGCCCATTTCCAGCGGCAGACGGTGCGTGAGACACCCGACACCGCCCCCCGGCCTGCCGCGCCGCCGCCGGGGCAACCTCGGCCGGCGGGCCGCCCCTGACGTATTGGCAACAGCTGTTGCAGGGCGAGGTGTGCGCGGACGACAGGGAGCCCGCCCAGCACTCGCAGCCGCTCGGACCGCCGACCGTGCTGCCATCTGTGGCACCTGGAGCGCCGCCGCCGGCCGGAAACACGCCGACAACAGCGACATCTAGAAGATCGGACTTTCAAGTGTCGAAACAAGCCGCTGGGTACGCAGGCATCGCGGTAGTGCAAGTGACTTTATGAGCGGCTAGCTTAAACCCACAGGCCACTTGTCTTTTCGCCTCTGCGAAAATTGTACTGGCCTGTCTGATCAATCAGCCGCATGGCTGATATCTGCGCTGTTGAACCGTCAGCACGTAAGCGACAACACTGCCTACCATATGCATGCGAGCTTTGCTGACCACCAGCCGTCTGTACATCCAAATATCGGCAGAATATACCCATTTCATCAATGGCAATGCTATATCCTAGCAACATCACGCGCCCGGCTGTTAGCCGCGAGTGATCTGCGGCGTGAAACCCCAGAGGCAGCAGCGCGTGCCTAAAGAAAAACAACCACCATCCAAAGATTCAGCAGCGACGGATGTGGCGCGCATTATCTGGATTTGGGGACGTCAACAGAACCCCAGCGACGCCGACCTGCCTCCATTCAACGATCGACGAGGCAATCGGTCTGCCGATCGTGATAGATGAACCTTCACCGATACGAGAATTCTTTTGACTAATGGCAGATTGGTGAGATTGCTGTCTGACTAGCAGAACACGGGACAGGCCCTCAGCTCGCCAGAAACGCTGACGGACAAGGGTGACCGCTGCAGTGGCTGCATACGTAAATCAGCTACATGGGGGCCGGCCAGCCAGACATTGTGAGCGCCCAGAACGCGACAGGGAGCCTGACACGACTACAGTCAAGCGGACAACAGACGGTTTGGGCTGGGCATGACTCGACACGGTCTGTCAGTGGGATGCCCCGGTCTCTACCCCAGGGGAGTCTGACGCGCTGCTCGCACGCACCTCTACTCCAGGGGAGGCCCTGACCGTGCTCGCCTGCACCTCTACTCCAGGGGAGCCCCCGACCGTGCTCGCCTGCACCTGTACTCCAGGGGAGCCCCTGACCGTGCTCGCCTGCACCTCTACCCCAGGGGAGTCTGGCCGTGCTGCTCGCCCGCACCTCTACTCCAGGGGAGCCCCTGACCGTGCTGCTCGCCTGCACCTCTACTCCAGGGAAGCCCCTAGCCGTGCCGATCGTTTGCGTAGTCTGCACACAGCGTCACTACACGCCCAGGTCCGCTAGTGCCGCCCTGCCCAGCTGTCGCTAAAGATCAGCACGAGACGGACCAAGTGCGGCATCGTAGCCGCCCTGCCCAGCTGTCGCTAACGATCAGCACGAGACGGACCAAGTGCGGCATCGCACGCCCGGAACCAACTCACCAGATCTATTTCTAAAAATATATATGTATACGTGAAAAGTAGGACAGAAAGCTATGTTTACAAACCGGGAACTGATTTTGTTCGACAGTACTTTTCAACACGGCAGTGCAAAGCTCAATAATGGTATTAACAAGACCGAAATTCACCGAAAAGTTACGTTTAAAAACAATAATTCCGTTCGAGCTGTGTATAACATCGTAGACAAAATTTCCGTGGAAACAGCTAAAAGCTGCAGACATGCATGTCCACAAGCTATCACATGAACTGGTGGAGCGCCACTCACGACCAGACCCCTAACTAGCCAATGAGATGGCCGCCATGACTCCTGTGCTATCTAACGACAAATGCCATAAGCTCAACATTCTATAGGTGGCGCCACCCTGGATGCATGCGAAGGCCACGCTGGGGTCGCTGATCTATAAACCGAATATGCAGACAATCGTGGATTAACCTTATTCGGGTAAAAAGAAGAGGAAGCGGATTCCGCTTCTTCACCATAAAGGGCACACGGCAGGGAAAAGGAGCAGTTCCCGGATCCGGCATTGGCAGAGACCTCTAGTGACATTTGACGATCTTGTTAAGATGGTGATTCCCTGAATTATAAGCCCTGCTTTGTGTTATAGGGAAAACTGAAATATCCATGGAATAAGATAGTTGTAACACAGCGTGAGTATGGTTATTGCAATATATCATAATTAGCATGGTAGAGGCAGCTCCAGAGCTCAAGGGGCGTATAAGGGAAACCGCCTGGTGTATTGATGGAAAACGTTATACTTTAGCCAGTATTTACACAAACCACAGAACGTATATATATATATATATATATATATATATATATATATATATATATATATATTCTGCGGTTATCTGTGTGGTTTGCTGTTCTGTGTATACATCATAAATTTAGGCATATATGCATCTATACATATATAAGTACACACACATTTTGACATTGTTATCACCATGCTGTACACATACCGGAGACGCCCATGAATCATAAAAAAACAACTCCGAAATTATTGCCCATGAATCTGCGTTGGTTGCGTCAAATCGGTTGACAAACATGACATTGTGTCGAACGCAAAATACCTCAAAACATTTTGTATTTTTGCCCCTATTGGCCCTACAAGAAATTATGCACATTTTCTTTCCTTAGACGTGTGGATCTTGTGGATATTTCGAACGTTGATTTTGATATTCTCCACCACCACTATCACCTTTTTCAGTAAACAAAACTTTAACCCAAAGTTAGTACTCGACAGCGTAGCGTAGCTGTGCACCACACCAAAGAAATGCACCTGTACTGTCGAACGAACATCATATCGACACCACGAGGTGTCTTCGCCGACGTGATTAAATATTAAATAAATTCGCCGACGTGAAAAAAATTACTAGTGGACGAAGGAGCGGATGGACTGAACTGTCAACAATGAAAGAGCACCCTCCAACGCAGTCCACCCTCCACGCCCGCCAGCACAGAGGCCACATACGCGGCCTCTGCCAGCGGCGTTAGCCATGTCGGAGCCCATCACGGCGCGTTTCTTCACACACACACGCGTGACAAATGATGAGCACATAATCACACGCGGGCGCGCCGCGACAGTTGGCACACTGCGCACAGCTGGTCGGGTCGCACGCGGCGCTCGCCGTGTGTCGCGAGATGCCCGCACGGGGAGAGCGCCGTCTCGGCGCCGGCGTGGGACCATACTGATGGCGACATACAGGCCCCACGAGCATGGCTGCATAGCACATAATTTTCGGCAATGAATTTTCATTTCCGGCGAGCGGGCTGAAATTGTGGGTCTTACTTCCCTGCAGTGAGTTTGTTCGGCGATTTGTTCTGAAAATATAATCAATGAACGAAATTCTCAATCATTCAATATGATCACCTTTTTACGACGACTGTTCCCTCCCGATATCTGACTTGTAGCGAAGCCTACATCTCAGTCCAATCAAGCCAAACGCAATTTGGGAAAATCCACCAGCGCGCCCTCTCAGCTCTCTGTGATTGTTTGCTGGCGTCGGGACGGACACGGCGCCACTTTCCCTCCAGCTCACGGCCCCCTCAGCCGAGTCGTCCGCGCTGCCGGCCTTCCGTGTTCGGCCCAATCAGGCCGGCCGTCATTGGGCGGCGGCCGCCGTCGCGTCCAGCGACCACGCCCCTGCGCCGGGCGCTCCAGCACGGGCCACGTCAGGACGCCGGCTTGCCGTCGAGCCGGCCGGCGCCCAGCTGAGCGGCGACAGGCGTCGGTCCGTTGGGAGGAAGGCGGCTCGTAGCGCCGGCTGGGAGGGGGGCGGCTTGTAGCGCCCGTTGGGAGAAAGGCGGCTCGGAACGCCAGCTAGGAGCGGGGCGGCTTGTAGCGCCCGTTGGGAGAGAGGCGGCTCGGAACGCCAGCTAGGAGGGGGGCGGCTCGTAGCGCCAGCTGGGAGGGGGGCGGCTTGTAGCGCCGGCTGGGAGGGAGGCGGCTCGGAACGCCAGCTAGGAGGGGGGCGGCTTGTAGCGCCGGCTGGGAGGGAGGCGGCTAGGCTGGCTTGCCGGTAAAACCGGGCGATCTGGGGAGTCCGTATGACAGATGACGGCACCGCCCTCGGATCTCGGGATCCCAAGTGATCCGGAGACCACATGGAATTGGGCAGATGCGCCGGAAACAGACTCCTGGTTGGCCTGTTGACACTGATAGCACAGTGTCGGCTGTCCTTTGAGCCCACCTGCACACTTACAGGGTGTGAATACAAATCACGCGCTCGATCCCTCCTCAGCGCTAAATCACCGCTTACATTACACAGGTCGACGACCAGACCCTGACAACCGTACTTAAGATGTCAATGCCGTCCCTCAAACCAATTTTGTTTGACCCCGCCCTGTCTATAATACTAAGCATCAGGTTATGTAACGACGCGCACCAACTCCGCACTTATTTACCGTCGACAACGTTCACGTCGACTATCGCCAGGACAACGAAACACGAGACCAGCAGCTTGGCTCGAACCCAATCTTCTCTACTAGATATGTCAATGCGGCACGTGATACCCCAGATCCCCAGCAGAGTGGGGAGAGACCAATTCATTTCCTAGCCTTCGCTGAAACAAGCACACTGTCACGTAGCACAACTCCACCTGAACCCGTGGGAGCTAGACCAATCAGGCTGACTGTGCGATCCATTCGCGGCAACTCCCTCACCGCTCCCTGGCTCCCGCCCTCGAGGTTCCGTCACCGCCAGTTACCACCACGCCCCGCTGCCTCGAGCCACCCGAGCTCCCCGGAGCCCGTTGCGAGCCTGCTCCCCAGACCTCGACCCGGCGCCAGGTGACGGCCCGGACCGCGCGGCCAGCGGCCGGCGCCGCTCCGACGGCCGGCCGTCGGCGCCGGCGCCGCGCCGGCTCGGCCGCGTCGCCACCGACGAGGCGCCGTCGCCAGCACACGGCCGGGCGGTGCCGGCGGGCGGCCGCGGCGCCGGTGGAGCGCTGACGGCCGCCGCTGCGGTGGACGCCAGTGACGGGTGTCGGAGGCGCCGCCTCGAGAACCGAGGACGCGGCGCAGCGGTGAGTACCGGCACGGGCAGCCAGCCGCCCCCCCCCCCTCCCGGGCCGGCGTCCCCCTCCCCTTCCCAGCCGTCTACGTATCTGCGGCTTCGGCCAGCTGAGAGACTGCTGTGTTTGGGAGGTCCTGGTAGGGTTCACGCCGTGCGACCTGCCGCCGCCGACCACCGAGAGGTCGTATCACCCCCACTGGCGACTCGTCGATATCTGCATGACAAGGCCACTGCCTGCCACCCGTCGACAGCCGGCCGCCGATCCCACCGACGCTAGCAAACAAAATTTACAGGTAGTGGCCTTTCGACGAGCGCGCCGCGTCGCTGGCGTTGGCTAGCAGCGCGCTCAGCCCATGCTCGGCGACAACAGGACCGACGCCAGCGTGGGGGGCCGCAGCAGCCGCCGCCGCCGCCGCCGGGCCGCGGCGGGGCTTCGCAGCCGACCCAGCCGGGCGGGAGCGGGTGACCCGGGCGGTGCCGGCCGCGGTCGGCCG